AAGGAGGAAGGAAGGAAGGAGAAAGAAAGAAAGAAAGAAAGAAAGAAAGAAAGAAAGAAAGAAAGAAGAAAGGAAGGAAGGAAGAAAGAAAGAAAGAAAGAAAGAAAGAAAGAAAGAAAGAAAGAAAGAAAGAAAGAAAAGAAAGAAAGAGAAGAAAAAGAAGGAACTTGGCAAATTGGACCACGGTGGCACATGTGGCAATCTCAGCACTCAGAAGGCTGAGATAGGAGGATTCCAAGGTCAAGATCAACCTGGGCTGCATAGTGATAGTCTGTCTCAAAAACAACAATAAAAGACTTTGGTAAAACTGACTTAATGAAAATTAAAAGTTTGTTTTGAGAGCCACTGTTAAGAGAATACAAAGAAATTGGAGGCCTGGAGGCCAGGCCATCTAATTAATGGACTTATATTAAGAGCATATAAAGAAGGCTTACAACTCATGAAGAAAAGAAGAAATGTATTTGGACGTGTCATCAAATAACCAACAAGCATGAAAAAGTACTTAACATTAACATCAGGGAAATGCAAATTAAGACCACAATGAAATGCACACTTAAATGACTAAAATCAAATTCTGACACTATACTTGTAGGTATATATCTCATACATGCTGATGTAGGATAAAAAATTGCACCACTTTGCACTGGTATTTCCTTAAGTATATACTTAACCTACACAGCAACTATACCTTGACATTTATGCAAAACATTAAAATCTGTCCATAAAATGCATGAATATGCACACCTTTGTTTACATAGCATAAACTGGGAACAACTGAAAATGTCCATCAACCAGCACATAGGTAAATAAATTGTGACATATTTACAAATGAAATCTCAACAGTGAAAAGGAAGTACTCCTATATATGTAGCAAGGTGCATTATCTGTTACTAAAATTATAGAACAAGTTAAACTTGTGGCAGGGAAATAGACCAATGATTGGCCGAGGCTGAGTTTGGGGAATACTTCTGAAATGGGCCTGAGAAAAAAATGGGGGAGCACTTTAATTGGACAGGTTACACAAATTTATGCATCTTTCAGTCTCACTAAACTGCTCCCTTAGAATAAATATATTTTATTATGTCTAAGTTACTCTTCTTTCATTTGGAAAAGTATAAAAATCAAATGTCCCAGAGTAAATACACTGTAAATATCATTTAAAATTCAAATTATATGAACTTCTGTACTAGAAAATAATCTTGGTAGTTGCTTTGTTTTTACTGGGTAGTGATGAAAATGTAGCTTAAAATTATGTGTTGTCTCAAGATGTTCAGTGCAAAGATCTATGTTGTCTTGATGGTAACATGCAAGTACTTTGGCAACAAGCTTCAGAGAACAAACCATCTTTGTGTGTGTCTGTGTGTGTGTGTGTGTGTGTGTGTGTGTGTGTGAGTGAGTGAGTGTGCAGGTACATGTGTGCACGTGAACATGATTGTACAGAGGATAGCCTCAGGTATCATCCTCAGGAACACCATCCATCTCCTTTGAGGCAGACCTTTCCTTGGCCTGGAGCTCACTGATTAGGTCAGGCTGGCTGGCCAGTGAGACTCAGGCACCCTCCTGTTTCTATCTTCCCAGTGTTGGGATTATAAGTGCACACCACCACATGCAACATTTTTATCTGGTGCTTAAAAGATGAGTGCTTTACTATAAAAGTCATCCACCCAGCACCCCCCCCCAAACTGCCTTTTATGAGAAATAGCTCTGTGGGAAGATAAGAAGCCACAGCTGATTACTATCTTACGGTTCTTTAATTAAGTGAAACCATGTTAGAAGTTGTGCTATATGAATTTCTCTCCCAGTTGCATCTAAAATGTGGAGATTATTATTTCTCAAAAAAAACAAGTCCCTTTGTAGGTCTCATCACATGTTTGATTTATTTTCCTTCCTTTCATATTTTTATGCTAAAAAACAGTTTTATAATTAAATTCCTTAGCAATACCTTTATGCAACAAATAAAATGATTATACACACTAGTGTATTTTCATCACAATTTGATTATTTTATGTGGGCAGGGATTTTACATTAGCCCTGAATTCTTATGCTTATCAACTAGAAATCTTATATGCACACATAAGTAGAGTTTCATATATAATATGACCTAATATGCATGAGTTTGCAAGTAATTTCCTTTGATTTGTCAGCATGAGTCACTGTTTTTGTGACTCAGTTTTCATGGAACGTATATATTTATTCTACTTGCTACTGACTTAACCAAGCCTGACAATGATTAAAATTTCCAGGTCACTGTAATAGTTTTTAGGGACAGTGGTATCAATGTGTGTGACTGAGATTATTCTGTGGATCTTGGGGATGGCGGTCAGCATTTCACAGTGCTCCAATGGGATCTCAATACAAGGTTTGCATTTTAAAATACTGTTTTCTTGTTTTTTTTACTTTAATTCTATGAGATCTGGTCACCATATTCCTCATATGAATCCACTTATAGTCTGACTTTTGAAATCACTATCTATGCTGTAATGGGTAACACTCTGGGCTTTGAAATCATTGTTTATTGAAATAAATAGGACATAGTGATTTTTTATGAAAGCATTATTGATAAAGGAAGACAATGACTCCATTTGAGGTTATCAGAGAACATATAGCTTAGTCATGCCATGTTCAGATCATTGCTAAATACTTTTCTTCTCTCAGAATATTTGAAATTTGGGGCTGGAGAGATGGCTCAGCAGTTAAGCGCACTTGCTGCTCTTGCAGAGGACCTGGATTCGGTTCTCCACACCTATGTGAGCCACCTGGAGCTACAATTCCAGGGGATCCAACACCCTCTTCTGAGAACATTGGGCACACATGTGGTGCACATATATACATGCAGGCAAACGCTTGGACACATAAAATAAAAATAAATCTAAAAAAAAAAAGAATATCTGAAATTCAGTGTAAATGCAACCAGTAGTCCCAGTGATCAAGCCACAGACCGTCTCCTAACTGTACTCTCCTCCATGTGGGCTCCGTATTCCTCCGGGGGAGCTGGGAGGGGGCACGGTCTAGTGCTCCCTTTCCTCACAGCTCATCCCTCCAAACAGAAATGGTCTATTTGCCTCATTATCTCAGAGATTTTGGATAGCAAGGAACTATATCTCAAATTTGTTGCCTCCATAGTGGCATGTAGTGCCGAGAACACAGAAGGCTGGTGATGAGTAGACAGCCATGCAGGATTCAGCTCAGCAATACCACAGTCATTGTCTTTGCCTGGCCTGAGTAGGGTTTATGGGAACAGTATTTCTGATATGACTTTACTTTCTAACTTGTAAACATACGAAATAGCCACCATGCTGAGTTCCCTGTTCTAGATGATTTTTCTTCAGCATTGTACATGAATTCTGAATGATCTTGGCATGGTCTAGTTTCTAAGCATTTGCACTCTTGTTTGGTAGTTGAAAGCATAGGCTTGCTGGACCTGTTTCCTTACAGCATGAGCTAGCATTTATAACACTTTCAGTATGTCCCACCCCTCCTGCTGTGCCAAGCCTTGTCTTGTGTGGATTATCTAGTTAACTTTCACAACAACCTGATGAAATTGGTGATGTGGAGTACTGAGGAGCTGGGGGCCTAAGGAGGTTGAGTAACTTGTCCAAGTTCACACATATTAGCAAGCAAAGAATTTGGGCTCAAAACCAGACAGGCAGACTCTAGAACCTAAGGTTTTCATCATTTCTCAATGCTGTCCAGTGATTTTTCTTTAAGGCATTTATCACTGTGTGAAATTTTTATTTTTTATTTCTGCATTTGAATACTTGTTCCTTGATTTCAGAGACATGCATCACCATATAAAAAGAAATGTGTGGTCTGTGGTAGGTGCTAATGATTAGTACTACTTTCCAGAATGTGATAATTAGATAATTACCTGTTTAGAATTCTTACAGTTTAGGAGTATTCATTTTAGGAGGTAGTTGTTCAAATAGAAAACTCCCCAAACTGCTTAAGGAGATGGCTTTAAGACAAAAACTTTAAAGACATCACTACACATGTAGGAATTTTGCTTATGTGATAATATAAACTTCCATCCTAAATTTAATATTGATGCAGCTTAGACTCTTTCTGGGAGGAAAATTCATCTTTATGTCACTCATAGCCACTTTGTTATCCTTTGGAGGTGCCTAAGTCAAGAACAAAGTGGACCCTAATCCCTGCATGCTTGGAGAGGGCAGGCACAGACCCAGTTTTGCTTATGAGCAGCTCCACATTCTAAGACCTTAGATCTTTCTCACTTCCCATGTCTTTCACTAGCCAGTTGGTATCTGATAATTGCACATGAAAGAAAATTTGACAAGGTGTTGAACAGAAGATCTAGGGCTGCCAGGAGCTGCCTGGGACTTGCATGGGAAGCGGAGGCTCTGTGTAAAGCTGCCTTCTCACAACCTTTCTCTGTTCTTCAATTTTTGATCCCTACTACCTTTTAACCTTTTATCTTTTTATTATCTCCCTCCTGGAATATGTCATTTGCCTCCTCACTTAAGTGAGAAAAGTGAGTTGCTGCAAAGGCAACCTTTTTGCTAATAACACACAACAATATTGGCTTCCACTTTCATTCCCGAAGCCTACATAGCTCTTGGACACTCCATAACTTCTGCACAGCCTTCTGCTTCAGCTGGTACCAAACCTGCGCCTTTTCTGGATCATCTATGTCTTTCTCTACCATAAAAACTAGCATGTTGTGATGCCAGCACACAAAGATTTGCAAAATTCAGCTAATTGGGAAGTTCCTAAGTATAATTTCCCTATTGTCAACAAAGACATCATACAAACATTTTAAGGGATACTCTTAATTTGAGACGAGTGCCTAGGGAGTTTTCTTTCTTCCTGCCGTATCTTTTATTTAAGCCTCCCCCTTTCGAATACACTGTTTCAAACCCGAATCTGGGACATCGTTGTTTCAGTGAAGCAGTTTACATTCACTTATTTCATTACATACAGTTCCATTCCACAAGTGTTTTTGAAATGTTAATTGCCATTTTCTTTGGTCTGTTCACATCTAGATTATGTTCAATGTCTGTATTGTATGAGGAGGTTTAATGAAACTGCTGCCCAGAGACATATTAATTTCTGCAAGGATCAGTGTTCTTGGCATGTCTTCAATCCAGTCCAAACAGCAGCCAGATTGGCATCCACAGCTCAGGTAAATCTCTCTCCCCAGGTTCTGGCTTTATATCCTTGCATGCCTGGGGTGAGCAGATAGGATCTGCTGGGGAACCTCAACTGCACATCCTAAAAGGTATAAGGATGAAGATGGTGATCCCCACCACTCATCCCCATGGAGTTGTCTACTTTCAGCTACAAGTATATTTGGGTGTTGCAGAAAAAAATATTGATAACATGTACATATTTGAAGCCTCTTGGCATTAAGACTGCAATATATAAAAAATGTCTCTGTAGCATTATGCTAATGCCCTGCTGATTCAATGGTGATCATTAGCCTAACCCACCCAAAAAAGAGCAGCAATTCAGCAAAACTGGTTTGGGTGGGGGAAACATCAACAAGATACTCCATAACATATGTTCTGGCTTCTAGGGATGGGGGCGGGGGTGGGTGTGGGTGTATGAAACATATGACCTCCTTGCTCGTGGCCTGAGGCACCAACCCAAAGAATAGAGTGTCTTGTGGGGAGGTACAAGATAGGATAACAAAGTCTGCAGCAGATTTAAAAGGGTAGTAATTAAAGCCAGTTCAGACTGAAGGAAAAGGGAAATGATCAGGCAGGTGCTCAAAAATCTGAAAACAGCCAGGTCTGAGGACCTGGGAGAGGAACAGCCTCTGGGAACCCAGGCAGCTATCCTTCCCACCCTCCCTCCTGTGACTTCTGTCCTCTCTTGGGAGGCTAGTGGTATTGACTTCTAGTCCATTGTCAGTTAGGGGCTTTATGTGTCATCATAGGCAGTGCAGACATGGATTCAGTAGGGTAAAATGGCATAACATGTAATGGACCTTTTAGAAAGGTCACTTTGGGGGACTGGGGAGATGTCTCAGTGGTTATGAGTACTGGCTGCTTTTGTAGAGAACCCTTGTCGGGTTCCTAGCACTTACATGGCAGTGAGTAACCAACTGTAACTCCATTTCCAGGGGATCTAATGCCTTCTTCTGGCCTCCATGGGCATTGTGCTCACATGGTACACTTATATACATGCGGCTAAAATACTCATATACATTAAATAAAAACAAATATTAAGAAGAGAAGTTCACTTTTGCAAGATGGACTATGGGAGACCAGGAAGGAGCCACAGGGGAAGAATGAGGCCCCTGGGGTGTGAGGACCAATAGGGGAACAGAAAAAAATGATGATTAATGAGACCGAGAAACCAACTGGCTATGAAGTTAAACCAGACATTGAAGCCTGGGCAGATGGTATTGCAGACTTAATGTTAAAAATGCTTCGGACTTGAAATGGTTCCTATTTCAATGGTTTAAATGGTTACAATGTTAACATATACACATACACCTTATAGATATAGCCTGAAGGCAATTTTACACATTACTTCATGCAGCTGTCTTTTGGCTGCAACATATATCACACGAGGTCAGGTGTGGAATTCATCTGTGACCTCATGCTGATGGTTAAAATGTTTTTGATTTTGAAACGTTTCTAATCACACATCTTTGGATTGGGGGTGCTCAGCCTGTACTCTAAAGCTGAAGGACCATGAGAGGGAGGATGGGTATATGTGTGTCGGATAAGTGAGAAATACAATTTTAGTGATTTGGTTTTGCCAACTGAGTTGATGTGGTGAGCATTGCGATGTTGAAAGAGCCAGGATTCTGCAATTGGTGATAAGGGTTCGACTTTCAATCATATGACTTGTTATTTGTAGGTAAGTTCTTTGAGTTTTGAGCTTTGCTTTCACCTGGAAATGCCATTAGTCGTGTGAAATTAGTTGAGTTGTTGGGAATATTGTAGATAGTATAGACAGTGAGGTACTGGTACACAGAGCTCTCTGCCCTTCCCTTCTCGGCACTCTGCCCTCCCCCTCTCTAAATGCCCCTTCCTCTTGGTAGGATCAGTACCACAATTTTGAAGGACCATGACTTTTGGGCTCAAGTTCAACTTGAGTTTGGAAAAGTTTGTAAGTTGAACACTTCCTCCAGCTTGTACAGCAGTAGAGGGCAAGTGACATTTCTGCAAATGGTTCTAACCAGTCCATGATGTTCTCCAGTATTAGTGGGGCCGAGGAGGGTGCAGGGAATCAGCAAACAGAAGTGGTTTTCATTTGTGTAGAAGGCCAGCTGGCTATCCTGAGTGTAAGCAGTGACTTGGCCCTTTCCCTCTCCTTGGTTTCCAGAGCTAAGTGGGGACTGGGAACACAGAAGGGAAATTTCTTACTTTCTGAATTCCTTTGCTAACTGTTGAGTCTGTCTGAACGGCAATGTTTGCTCCCTGAATGTCAGCACCACCACTCTGGGGCCTTGCCTAATAGGGACGCTTGCTCAGAAATGGAACAAGAAGGGAGGGCTTGTTTCAGGATTGCAGGGCTGTTAACTGCACAGCCAAAATGTGTTTCTATTTCAAACATAATCAGCTTTAAAAATGTGTCATACCCTTAACCAAAAAAGACCCATAGGAGCCTCTAAAAATAAGTTTCTGGGGGCTAGAGAGATGGCTCAATGGATAGGATCACTTGCTGTAAAAGCAAGAGGACCCAAGTTCAAATCCCCAGCACCCACATAAAAGCCAGGAATGACTTCACATGTCTGTGACCCCAGTAGTCGGGGCAGAGACAGATGGAGCCTGGGAGCTTGCTGGCCAGGGTCTCAAAAAGTAAGAAGGAGAGCAATAGAGGAAGATAGCCCATATCCTCCTTTGGCCTCGGCATGCCTGTACACCACACACACACACACACACAGTCTTTTTTTAAAAACTTTGACTAGGATGGGTGATCTGTCTTTATAATCTCACAGTAATCCTCGGACTGGCAAGAAGTTTTAATTAGGTAACCGATTATCTTTATCCCTGTTTTCCATGGACCTGGATGTAGAGCCATAGCAAACTAAAAAGAGCTCTTCAGTCAGCACTGGTCCATGTTCTGTGTTCACCTGTACATTTCTGCCACTGCTGTGTAGGACTGGCGAGGGCCTAAGGATATTAAAATTCCATGCTTTTACATTTGCTGCTTGTTAATCTCTGTTGTTCTTCCCTGTTCTTGTTAGAAAATAAAATCATCTTCAAGTGTAAAGAAAAATATTCCATAAGTATATTCTCATGGATATTAAATGATTGGTTTTGTCCCCATACGACTGATTTTATAGGATAAGCATACTGCCCATAACCACCAGGGTTAGCTTATAGAATGAATGAAAGCTCCCAAACTTAACCACAGCTTTAACTCCAGCAGAAGGATGGGGCCCAAAACTAACTGAGGTGCAGGGTATGTGGCTGTCCCCTTCCACTGGCTGCAGAAGTCCCTGTGATGACTTTAATCTGCTGCTAGTTTAGCAAAAAGAGAATTACCTCCTGCTTGGTACCTGAGGTTACAGTGCTGTGCTCAGTCTTTTTCTTTCTGTAGGGCGAGGCCCAGGCAAGTCCCCCAAAAGAACTAACTGTGACCAGTGCCGTGGGGACTCTGCTCCAGAACAGGGCCCTGGAAGCCATAAAAGAAGTCCCAACCAAGCCAGGTAAGTCAGAGTGTACACTTGAGCTCCAGAGTCTGAGCCCACCATTCCTGGCACTGCCATCCGCTGGTGGTCCGTAAATCTTAAACAGCATCCAGTGTTGCTCTAAGACACGAGGGTTTGTATGAGGTTAAAGCTTATTTGTCAAGAGGGACTATTTCTTAATTTATCAGTATTACACAACTTTGGTGCAAAGTCCTGTCTGATTGCAGCAGCTGGGATCGCTCATCATTCTTCCATCTGCTAAAACTGAAGAGATTGAGGACAGAAAAAAAATCACATGTGAGATGCTGTGCTGAAAATAAGGGGAGAGTCTCCTCTCTAGAAACAAGTCATTTCTTCAGAGTGGCAGTAAGGCACAAGTACTGACCATGTGCCTCCCAGTGATCAAAATATTTTATTCTGCATTTTAAGAAAGGGAAACTGAGGCTCAAAGAGAACAAGTGGCTTTACTTAGGCACACAGCTGGGAATCAGCAGGCTGGAGTGGACGTTGACTGTGCTTCCCTCTTCAGTAAGTTGCACGATATTCAGGGCTGTCTTCTTTATGACCGTGCATTTTTATAAAATTAGCATTCGAAGGAAAAAGTTTCCTTATGATGTACGTACTTAGTTTTGGTTATTTCTCTCTCTACTCGCTCCCCCTCTCCCCTAGTTCCCTGGCCACCATCATCATGTAACCATCCACCTCCAGTATTCCCTCTTCTCCTTTGATATCATGGGCAGTCTTAAGACAGTGAATATTATTTCACATAGCAGTACTTACAGTCAGCAGTCTTATTCTGAAGCTGTGTCAGATGCCAGTCTCAAAGCCTAAATGATAACACCAAAAAGTTTGTTATTCACTTTTAAATTCCTCCTGAATGACTAAAAAATTGAATTGAGGGTCTGGGAAAATGGCTCAGTAGGTAAGAGTACTTGCTGTGCAAAGCATGCTTATTTGAGTTCAAATCCCCATTACCCATGTGTAAAGCTGTGTTGACCAAGGTACACATACCTGTAACCCTGACACTGTGGAGGCAGGGACAGAAGGATTGCTGGGGTTTGCTGACTGTCAGGCTAGCTCTAGGTTCAGTGAGAGACCTTGTCTCAAAGGAATAAGTCAGAGAGTAATGCAGCAGGATACCCAATATCCTCCCCTGGCCCCTACACATACAAGCACACACATACATCACAGGCATACTCACATCCACCCATACACAAAAACATACCCCCCAAAATTAAATTGATATTTAAAAAATATCCATACAGCCTTATAAAATGAAATCACGAGGGTTTTGTTTCTTTGGTTTTGTTTTTGCAAAAATACTGTTTGCATTTTTTTTTGTTAAAGTTTTTCCATTTTTCTAATTTTTATATATAATATTTACCATCCTATTTTAGCATACAGTTCGGTGGTATTAAGTGCATTCATCATTTTGAACAGCCACAATTACCACCATCTATCTCTATAGGTTTTTTCTCCCAGTGCAAAGTATGGAACTTAGGTGCTTATTCACCCTAGGCAGGTATTTATACCACTGAGCTAGATCTCCACACCTCTTTTTACTTTTAAAAAATAACATTCATTTATTTCTCTTCCTCTCCGTGTGTGTATGGGGGGCATACACATGGTGCTCCTCTGCAGGTAAGAGAACATCCTAGCAGGAATCGGTTTTCTCCTTCTACTATGTGGGTACCCAATGAGAACTCAGGTCATCAGGTTTAGCAGCAAGCAGGTTTGTCTTTACCCACTGAACCATCTCACTAGCCTTCTTTACTTTTGATTTTAAAATATTTTATTTATTGTTTCTATTTTATGTGTAAAAGTGTATTGCCTACATGTATGTAAGTGCACCAGTGTCATGAAATGCCCTCAGAAGTCAGAAGAAGGTGTCAGATCCCCTGGAGTTGAAGTTACAGATGGTTGTTAGGCTCCTTGTAGGTGCTGGGAACCTGGGTCCTCTTTAAGAGCAGCCAGTGAACCATCTCTCCAGCCCTCTTTACTTTTTATTTTGAGCAAGGGTCACACTAAGTTGCCCAGGCTAGCCTTGAATCATTCTGTAGCCTACATAGTTCTGGAATTTGAGATCCTCCTGCCTCAGCCTCCCCTGTATTGTGCCTATAGCCTTTTGCATCTTGTAAAACTGAAACCGGGTAACTCCACATTCTGTCTTCTCCAGCTCCTGGCACCGCTGTTCTATGTTCTGTTGTTACGATGGTCTACTCCAGTTATTCCATAATCGTACAGTATTTGTACTTTCATGACTAGATGATTCCACTTAGTATAACGTCCTCAAGGCTCATTCATGTTATAGCGTGAGTCAGAATTTTCTTTCTTTTTTTTTGAGAAAGGGTCTCCTTGTAGCCCCAGCTGTCCTGGAACTCACTATGTAGACCAGGCTGGCCTTGAACTCACAAAGGTCCACCTGCCTCTGCCTCCCAAGAATATTCTTTCTTTTTAATGTTCAGTAACATTGCATTGTGTGTATATGATATTTTGCTTATCTATTCATCTATCAGTGTACACTCGGGTTGTAGCCATTCAGTTCCTTGAGACTTAACTTTCAAATCCTTTGGGTATATACACAAAAGAATGGCTGGATTATATAGTAGTTCTGCTTTTTAATTTTTGAGAAACCGCAATAATGTTTTCCATAGCATCCATGCCATTTTACGTTTCTGCCAACATTGCTCAAGGGTTCCATTTTTTCCACATTACCAAACCTTGTTTCTCTTTCTCTCTATCTCTCTGTGTATGTATAAGTGTGTTTGGTAGTGGCAGTCCTAATATACATGAGGTATTATGTCGTTATAGTTTTGATTTGCTTATTTATTTATTTATTTATTATTTATTTATTTTGGTCTTTTTGAGACAGGCTTTCCCTGTGGTCCCAGTTGGCCTGAAACTTGGCTTCTGTAGATGGGGCTGGCTTCAATCTTGCAGAGATCTGTCTGCTTCTGCCTCCTGAGTGTTGGGACTAAACTCATGTACCACGATGCCCAGCCCTGATTTGCATTTTTTTAATGATTCGTGATGTTGAAAATCTTTTCAAGTGTTTATTGGTCATTCATGTATCATCTTTTGAGAAATGTTTATCCAACTCGTGCTCATGTTTTAATTGGACATTGTATTAGGTTCCTCTTTCTTTTTCTCTTTCTTTCTTTCTTTCTTTCTTTTTTTCTTCTTTTCCTTTCTGGCATCACTGTGACCAAATTCCCAAGAGAAATAACCTAAAGGAGGAAGAGTTTATTTTGGCTCAGGGTTTCAGAGGTATCAGGACATAATTTTAGGGAGGACATGACATAGCAGAACAGTTCACATCATGGTGGTCGGGAAGCAGAGAAAGGGGATACATTCTGTGGGCTGGCCCTCTCCTTTTACCTCTGCTATTATTTGAGCCTCCAGTTTATGGGATGGTGCTGTCCACATTCAGCATGAGTCTTTATCCCCTAGTTTATCCCTCTGGAATTCCCTCAAACTAAAACACAGAAGTGTGCTTGACTAATCTTTAGGTGCTTCCAAATGCATTCAAGTTAACAATCAAAATTAACCAGCTGTCTTAGTTACTTTTCTGTTGCAGTAAAACAGCCTGAAAAAAGCAATAAAGATAGTAAATCTTCTAGTTCTTGAACAGGAGAGAAAAGCTTTGTTTTTTTTCATAGTTGGAGGGTACAGTTCATTGTGAGGAAGTCAGGGCAGCAGGAGCTGGAGGAAGCTGGTCACATTGTATCCAGTCAAGAAGCAAAGATGAATGCTTTTGCTCAACTCACTTTCTCCTTTTTATACAGTTTAGGCTTCCCAGCCTGGGAATGCTACCACTCACAGTAAGGGGGTTTTCCCATCTCAGTTAACCCAATCAAGATAACATCCTACAGGTGTATCTAGAGACCAGCCTTCCAGGTTATTCTAGATCACATAGAGTTGACAATTTCGATAGACCGTCCAACTCCACCTCTTGTCAGCTTGACACCCAAACATATCTCTTTAAATTGTAACATTTCATTCCTTGCCCCCAAAGTCTCATGCTCATCTCATATCAAAACACAACCCAACTTCAAGAGTCCCCATCATCTTTAACAATTACATCTGTTTTCTTAGCCGTAAGTAGTCTGAACTCTGTCCTGTCTTGAAATTTTCTCTGTCAAAAAAAAAAAATCATTTTTTTCTTACTGAAGTAAAAGTTTTATGGATATAGTCTTTTTTGCTCACATTTTTTTTGGTCTTTTTGAGACAGGGTCTCCCTGTAGCCCCAGCTGGCCTGGAACTCACTATGTAGACCAGGCTGGCCTTGAACTCACAGAAATCCACCTGCCTCTGCCTCCTGAGTGCTGGGATTAAAGGTGTGTGCCACCACGCCTGGCCTTGCTCACATTTTTTTAAAGATCATTATGCATATTCATTCTGCATGCACTGGGTTCCATAAGGATATTTTTACACAAGTATGTAAGGTACACTCAGTATATTCCGCCCATACCCCTAGCTCTTCTTTCTCGCCCCTTCTGTTAGTCCCTGTGTTCCCCCGGACAGTTTCAATTCTACTTTCATGCCATATATACATACATGGTTTTATGTATTTATTTGTAAAAAACTTTAGGAATCACAAATGAGAAAAACCATATAATGTTTGTCTTTCCAACTCTGGTTTAATTTGCTTAGTATGATTATCTTCAGTTGTATCAATTTTCTTGCAAATGGCATAGCTTTGTTTTTCTTCTCGGTTGAAAAACATTGCGTTGTGTGTATATACCACATTTCTCTTTTTTCTTTTACTTTCTTTTCTCTTTTTTCTCATTTTATTTTATTTTATTGCAGTGCTAAAACTCAAACCTAGGACCTACCACATGCTAGGCAAGTGCTCTGCTATTGAACCATATCCCAGCTCCTGCACACCACATTTTATTTATCCATTCCTCTGTAGAAGGACATGTAGGTTGGCTGTATATAGTTTAGCTACAGTGAATAGTGCTGCAATACATACTGATGTTTATGAATCTCTGTGATATGTTGGCTTGGTGTCCTTC